AAGAATAATTAATCAACAAGTACTTGGTACTACACTGGCAAGGAAATTAATTTAACTTAATCAGAAATCTCAAATTTAAATCGTATAAAATTATGACAACCCTAGTCAGAGTTGTTGGCTTTTAAATACCAGAGGGTTTGCTACTAATTAACATGATATGTTCTAATGATAATTGAGAAAAAAATGATTGCTCCATGTTTTAATCATATAATTTTTATACCAATATCAAAGAAAAATTATTTCTTGAACATGATGCACAAGTGATGACAAATACAATTTTTTTATAATCACGATGTAAGGGCCTATTTAGTTTCTGGTTTCAAAGACAGTTTTTTGTTTTTAAAACAAAAAAATTTAAAAGATTATTTGAATAAGTATTTTTAATCTAATTATTTTTAAAATTTAAAAATAAAAATGAAAATATTAAAATTATTTTAATTTTATTTTTCTTGTTGTCAAAATACATTATATTTAATTATTAAAAACTACAGTTATTTGGACTAATAATTATCATAAGCCATCACCGTTACCCTCAAATGACCATCACCATTGGTCAATTTTTTTATTTTAAAAATATTTTAAAATTAATATAAATAAAAAATTTTAAAAAATATATTACAAAATTGTTTTTAAAAATAAAAAATAAGTATAGAAACCAAAAGGATTTGGATTTGGTGATTGTACTTAGTACAAGTATTGAGCGCTTGTACATTTAAACTATTAAAATCCACATCAATAGTTATGAATTTATTAATCTCAAATAAAATATAAATTTATAACTATTAATCTGAATTTTAACAGTTTTGATGGTACAAACACTCAATGCATATACTAAGTATAGTTTCTAAATTCAATCCAAATCTGAAATGAAACAAGTCCTAACACTCACAATCGCATTCACGATCTCAAGTATTGCTGGTTAACTCATTTATGGAAACAAAAATTTTGAAAAATAAATCAAATACTCCTGAAATCCTAATTTTATATTATTGTTTTAAAATCACAAGTTTCCTCCGGAAATTTCGTGTTACGTGATTATCATTATATCATCACTTCACCGAAGTCGAACCTGGAGGCGGAAAGTGGAAAATTTAATTCAATCAAATGCTATCCTCTTTAAAGTTACCACTCACAATCTCTCTCTCTCTCTCTCTCCCTCTCTCTCTCTCTCTCACGGGCGCGTGCGTACACGCCTTTGCTTTCACATTCTGTCTTTGAATTTATTGTTTGACTTCATGGCCAAAAAATAATAATAATAATAATAACATCCTTTGATTTTTCAAAAGCAGCATTGTTAAAGAATTTTAACTCGTACTGTTCATTTTTTAATGAAATTATTTAGAAATTGAATAACTTTAAGAACTAGAAGTATCATCTTACATCATTTAGTTTATACAATATTTACTTTACTTTTTATAAATAATAAAATTATACATAATATATTGAACCATCAACTTTTATTCTGTATTATGTTTTCATAATATAATTAGAATTTTCTATATTTATTTTCGAAACATAATTACAAGATTCAATAAAAATGATAACTTGCATCATTAAAATGTAATAAAAGCGAACAAATTATTAAAATGTATTCAAGAATTAAACTCAATAATTACTATTCTAAAATAATGAAAATTTAAAAATATTATAATTAACCATGTAAAAAACCACCAAACTGCATGTTGGCAGTGGTAGGGGCTTGTGTTAATTAAGGAAGTGATTGAGAATTCAAATTTCAATCCTGATGCATGTAGTAACTCACTCTTTATACATCAAAAAAATAAAGATGCTAAAAATCTCAAACTTAATTTTTTTTTTTTTGCATATACCTGACCTGCTTCTTACTATTAGAGATAATCTTATTCATGGTAAGGTCATATAGTGAATGAAGGCACCATTCTCAATGAAAATTAAAATATTAATTCACTACGTACATTGAGGGCCAACTCTGAAAGTTTTGAGGCTTAAGGCAGAATTATTATAGACGTATAATATCTGTAATGTAACTCCTAAATTTTTATATTATTTTTTAGTGTTTGTAAGTTGAAAAATTACTTATCAATGTTTTATGATAAAATAATTCTAATATTTTATTTTTAATAAGGAATAGACATAATTCATTCCATTTATATTGTAATATAGTTTATCTTTGATGGAATTTAGAAAATTTTAAAATTAAAAACTTATTTAAATGATAGCAATTATTATTGATATTATGTAATTTTGTAACTAAAATTTTCATTAAAATATCATTATATATATATATATATATATATCCTTCACTTTTCATTGAATTTATACTCTGTATATATTTGTGAAGAAATAAAGTCATTGTCCTTATAATTTATCTTTAAACTTAAATGAGGCCTATAATTCACGTGAGGCCCTAGGTGATGACCTAAAGGCAGCCACACTTTACATTATGAGAGGCAAGATTATATTATTTAGCTAAACCCAAACCCGTTAATTGAAAAGTTAAAACTTATTTCTTTTAACTTTGTAAAGAAAAATGCATTTATGGTCAAGATTTTAAATGCTTTATTTATTTATTATCAAAGATACTGCAGCTTTCATTAAACTGAAAATAACGTCCAGGACAAAACAATAGCAGAAGTAGAAGTAACATGAGAGGACTTGATAGCTTAATCTGCCTGAGGTTACAATAGAAGACAAAGAAGTTATTGAGTATTAAATTAATTAAGATCTTTTGAGCATGTGCGTGTTATCATTCTTTATTAACGTCAAAGTTAATGGAATTGATATGAAATATAACCATGCCAAAGGATTATATTAAAACAAAATCTATCTCAAAGTTAAATGATTAAAAGTATAATTTAGCTCTTCACCAAAACAAAAAATAGAAGCATACTTCAGCCTATACTCTATATATATATATATATATATATATCCTTTTCACCTTAATTGTCAAAGAAAAGATAAATACTTAGTTTTGGCCTTGTACGCATGCTGCGAGGTGCAACGCAAAACAAGAGAAGTCAAACGATACATTTTGAAGTGAAGAATAAATTTAATTTATTATAAATTATATTTATTTTGTTATAAAACATATAATTTTATGTTTCAAGTGATTACATCACTACACTATCTTTTCATGAGTTTATTTAAACTTATGAATTTGACAAAGTAGAATGCCTCATGTTCTACTAAAGGTGTGAGGTCTTGAGTACGAGCTCTTAATTGTGGCGATGGAATTAAAAAAAAAAAAAAAGATGCCCCAGTCCCTTGAATGCCCTATTCTACTCATAATTGAAATATAAAAAAATAGACCACTAATCAAATTGGAATGCCAAATATTTTATAAATATTTCTCAAAATTATATATTTAAAATTTTTACTCTTGAATTAAAAATTTTCATTTTTAATTTTTAATTTCAACATTTTAAAGTTTCATTATAATCTTTTCTTCAAATATGTAATTAAAAAATTCCTCATTTTTTCACTTTCAAGTTTATAAATTAATTTGGCTGGCAAAACCAAAATATGTATCATCAATATTTTTATGTATTGATTAAACTAATAGTGATGGTTATATAAAAGTATCATTAATTGACCAAAAAATTACAAGAAAAGACTGAATAATTACAAATAAATACTATATAAAAAATGGGTTAATGAACAAATATGACCTTGAAGTCTTGCTCGAAAATTATCCTAAACCCTGAACTTTAAAATATGTAAAATAAACCCTAAACTTCTAAATTCATAGCAAAAAAAAAATCCTAACCATTAACTTTTTAAACACCATTACTATCCATGTAAGTACTGTGATAGTCAAAATTAAATTTATAGGAAAATAAACCCTGAACAATACCTGCATAAATAGTAATGGTGTTAAAAAGTTAATGGTTAGGATTTATTTTTTATATTTTAAGAGTTCAAGGTCTAAGATGATTTTTGAACAAGAGTTCAGGATCCTATTTGCTCATTAACTCTAAAAAAAATTAATGAGGATCAATTTCTATGAATTACAAGTAAATACAAAGAGATAGATGTTATTTCTTTAATATGTGAATGACTAAAATTTAATTTCGATCAAATATTTTGACCCATTACCAGGTGATTATTAGACCACCATTATTTACACCAACAATTAATGAAAATATATTTTCAATAATATCTTATTAAAATATTAATATTTTAATATTTGATGGTTTAAATATCGTTATTATTATTTATAAATAATCCTCCTAAATTTATAGTTCTTCTATTAAAAATTAAAATCTCAACTAAACTGAACTATTATATTTGTAAAAAAGTGCATTCACTTTTTAAATAAAAAATAAATTAGTTAAGTTGTAATTTTTAGATAAATTGTAAATATCAAAAGATAACATGTAAATTGTGTGTGAATATTTGTAAAGAATAATATTTAAATTATTATATACCATATTATTAATATTTAATAAGATATTATTAAAATATATAATATTATCTTTGTATTTTTTAAAATTTAAAAAGCTTAATTGAAATTTATTTTCTTATATGGTACCTATTTATATCTATTCGGGTCCTTTTATGTAGTTATTTTTGTCTTTGTTTTTTTTGTAAATTTTGATGTTCTTTTTGTAATTTTTTATCAACTAATTGTTAAAGTTAACTTTTGTTAATGGTAAAAGAAACATTGCATTATTTTCAAACTGTGAAAGAAAATATGTTTAGGATACCAAACACTCCTTGATATATAGTTTAATGGCTAATTTGTCCTTTTTTAACCTTTTTTTAATTAACTTGTTAAGTGAAATTGACAAAGATTTTTACCACGTCAAAGAGAAAGGGATTAATATGAAATATAATAAAGTTGAAGGATTCAAACAAAACCTCCGGCAAAGTTGAAAGTCTAGAAGACTGCTAGAATTATACTTTAGCATCTACTATAATATGTGTGCTTGTGTGTATTCGTTTTCAGCCAAACTTTTGCCTATAAATTTCTGTATGCAATTATACATGCAAAGTCTTGCAAAAATAGAAAAATACACAAACAAATTAAAAGAAAAAAGGAGAGAGAAACCATGGCTTTTTTGGATTCTAAAGAGACTCGTTCTAATGAAGAGCAAGAGGATTCATATGCTCTTTTGGCCATGCTTCAGTGTTGTAGCCAAATCTACTGTGCAGTTCTCAAAGCTTCGCTTGAGCTTGACTTGTTTGAGATCATAGCTAAGGAAGGAGGACGACACGTTTCAGCTTCAGAAGTTGTCTCAAAGCTTCCAAGTTCATCTCAGCACAAAGACTTGGCTTTGAGGATCGATCGTCTCTTGAGACTTCTTGCAAGTCACTCTCTTCTGAATTGTTTAGTTCGTGAGAAGGAGGATGGTGGCATCGAGAGACTCTATGCGATTTCTCCTGTAGGAAAGTACTTTGTTAGTCATGGGGACGATGATAGTGGATTCTTGACTCTCTCATTCATTTGTCACAAGGCACTTATGGATGCTTGGTAATTTTTTTCCCCCTTCAAAAAACAAATACTCCCTTCAAGTTAGGTTTATTAGATTTCATGCAAAGCAAGTGATCGATCCACAATCTAGTTATCTCAAAAGAATTATTTGATTTGATTAAATATATTTATTTATTGTTTCTAGGAAAAATACAACAGTAGGTCCTTATACTTTGATTGTATTTTGTATTTAGTTCTTATATTTTTTTTTTTCATTATTCTTAGTCCATTTAGGTTGTCAATCTCCAATATAATATTAGTACTTATAGTTTTAAAAATGCGTATAAAGATCATAAATTGATGATATTGAAAGAATTAATTTCGCTGACGTGTAATTACTTAACTTTGGTAATCGATCCCTTTACTGACATAGAAACAAATTGACCAGGTCTTGAAAATAAAAGTAAGGGAAAATGTTTTTTGAACTTTTAACTGGACAGAGTTAATTTATTTCCATGTTTGCATATTTTTAATTGCTATGTCAACAAAGAAATTAACAAAGATAAATATACATCGGTGAAATAAATATATTAGAAGACTAAAGAAAATGCTTATGTAAGTTATTAAATAAGACATTTTAGTTAACAATATTCCCAAAAGCTTAGTTGATAATAGAGCACAATGGCAGTGTGCAATTCATATAGCTAACTCCACCTGGTGAAATAAGGCTTGTTGTTGTTGTTGTGTTAATTCATGGTCCTTTTCTGCATTTTTAAAGCTATAGAGAAAAAGTTGCAAATGGATCAAAATAAAGGGACAGAGAAAAATAACAAAATAAAACTATAAAAACTGATAACAAAACAAAATCAAAGTATTGGAACATATTGTTATATAAGTTTTTCCTTATTTCTATTTTGATGTAGGATGAATTTTAAAGTGGCAATTGTAGAGGAAGACAATGACTTATTCAAGAAAGTCCATGGAATGCCAATGTACCGATACGCTGAGATAGATCCAACATGGAACAACATTTTCAACAAAGCAATGGCCAACCGTTGCAACATAGAGATGAGAAGAATATTAGAGATATACAAAGGATTTGGGGGAATATCAACACTTGTTGATGTTGGTGGTGGAACTGGCCAAAACCTCAAAATGATTGTCTCAAAGTATCCTTCAATCAAGGCCATCAATTTTGATTTGCCCAATGTTATTCAAAATGCACCACTTCATCCAAGTACATCTCAAGTTCATTATCTCTAATTCTTTTTATGTTTACACTCCTTCCGTCCAGTTCTAAATGTAGGAGCTAGTTAACTAATAATTCCTTATATAGATTCATGAAATTAGGTTGGCTAGTTATATAATTTCTATTGGAACTACCCCTGTTAATTGTTTCCAATTAATACAGGCGGTTTTAATTTTAAAAAAATAATAGATGAGGGAGACAAAGAATATTGAAGTCTTACTTTAAAATTTAAGAAGCAAACTCTTTAGCTAGCTCTTATATTTAAGATCGAATGGAATTTTTTTAAATTTTTGGGTTGGTTCAGATAATTAGAATTCTCAATTGGGCCTCAAATTTTATGAAGGGATCGAGCATGTTGAAGGGGATATGTTTGAAAACGTTCCGAAAGGTGATGCCATTATGTTGAAGGTTAGTGCAAAATTTGTCATCTTAATTAGTTTCAACTTCTTATTATATTCCTGAATATTAGATTGCAGTCCTTAGTTATCAAAGTAAATATAATCTTTATATTAGGGACTTGTTTGGTTTGATCTCTTAAGTTCATAAAATATCATTTCAATTCTATAACTATAATATTGTTAGTTTTAAATGATTATTTTTGTACCATTATTGTTATTTTCTTAAAAAAATTAAACTTAATATATTAACATTTGAGAATCTTTTATCAATACTCAGAAATTCAATTTAGGAGTTTTTTTTTTATTGATGAAACTAATGATGTTAAGGACTGAAAAAACACTTTATAAAACTAAGGGACAAAAAATAAAATCTTATGTAATTAAAGGGCAAAAGATGCACTTTAGCATAAAAACTATTTTGTAAACTAGTTAAAGGACCAAAATTTGTTTGATTATGTTAATTTAAAAAAATTAGAATCAAAAAATTGGCTGATAGTAGTGGTCAAAAGTGGTTAATAGTAGTGGCCTATAATAGTGGTTAGTTTGAATTGAAGGTAGTTTACAATAATTAGATATAGTGTGCTTTAAAAATTAAAAGTAAAAAAAGAAATCAGAAACAGTTCTATGTTTAACATTTTTTGTTTTTTAAAACAAAAAATGAGAACAGTTTTGAATATATTTAAATTTGAAATACTTACCCAAACAATTATTGATATTATAAAAAAATAAAAATAATTTTGAAAAATAGAAATCAAGCATGCTCTAGATTTGTGGTCCGTTTGGCTGTTAAAAGCATATAATAAGTACAAAAACTTGACAAAGATGAAAATTCATGTTGAATAATTAGTACAGCACGTTAGTCAAATGAAAACATTCAATGCAGCAATCGCATGTGTGCATGCTTGTTGGTTAGGTTAAGTTGACTAATTTGAGACATCATAATTAACAAAGTGATCTTAGTGGTGAGTTCGAATAATTTTTCAAATCCATACCAGTTTTTCCAAGCATATATCATATATAAGAGGAAAAAAATATATCACACAGTTTAAGAAAATTAATTAACTATAATAATTTTGTCTGAAAATAAAAAAATTAGACTAAAATACCCTATATTAATTAACATAAGCAAGCATTAATTATTTCTCATTAATGTAAATTATAGGGGGTGATTTAAAAAATGCTTATTGAAATAGGTGATTTTACTTATATAAAAAAATAAGTAAAAATAATAGTTTCTCTTACAAATAAAAATGAAAGGAGTATATAGTATATTGTTCTCATTCACATCATCATGAATATTGCTTTAGACTCCTTCCGGTCTAAAATATTAAATTATATTTTTTTCAGCTAATCTTGTTTCAAAATATACATAATTTAGTATTTGCAGAAATTTTTTCTCATTTTACCCATTGTATTTATCAACAAAAATTCTTGTATTTATTGTAAATTTATGACCTACTTACTCATTATAAATTGGGACTTAGGGTAAACAGAGAAAATAATATATATTTTCATGTGAATAAAAATTTTATTGCATACGAATTATTGTTGAAAGCTGCTTATATATACTTTGGATCCAATGAATTTTTTTCTCTTCCTAATGGTTGCTGTTGTGCCTTTTAGGAAAAAGTAACGATTGAAAAATCATTTGGAAGTTGTTGAAAATTCTTGGATGGTTATTCCATGATTTTCTTAACGGTGAATTTCCTCAAGATGTTTGTAGAAATACTTGAAAGAAGAATTTGGTAGAAATAAGGTTGTTTAGGCTTTATATTAGGGCCTAGAGGGATTATTGAGCCACTTGGAAATATATATATATATATATATATATGCATAATTATATATACAAGTAAGAGGTTTGAAAATATTGATTGGATCTTGAAGTACCTAAAGAAGATAATGATAAATTAAATGGTGGTTGTGGTGCTTCATTGAGCATTAAGAAGGCACAAAAGGGATGGAAAGGTATTCTCTTTCTCTAGTTAGGTTGTTGATATGTTACTAAATTTGATAATAAACTTATTGGTTATGTTTTTTTTTAAAGTTGTGATGTTGTTTGTGATTGAATTTGAATGTCCACCAAGTGCTTGAAAATTTCTTGATAAGTGAAATTGAAGGATGTAATGAATACTTAATGGGGCAAACAAAATTTTGTTAGTGTTGGAAGCTATGTTGTTAAATGCTTACTTAGTTACATCAAGAAAAGAACAAATAAATGATTTTAGAATTGTAATTTATTTGTTAGGAAAATAATGGAATCATTGGAATTAAAGTGAGAGGTTGAAGAGAAGTAAGCTTTAGAATTCTTGAAAAATTCCTCAGATGAGTAAGAACATTCCAACTAAATTTTTGTTAGAGAATTCCTCATTTAAAATCTTTTTGTTATTTTCTTATGATTTATACAATTCTCCTCACCCTATTTTTTTATTTACGTTATTTGGTTTATTAATGAATCTGCTTTATTTTTATTTAAGAATTATACAATAGTATAATTTTTAAAAAAGTTCTATTGTTTAATTTTATAATTGATGAGAGAGCTATTAATATGGTGGTTCATGCATGGAGAAAATGGAAAGAAAATTTATTAGTTGAATATTATATTTTGAAAGGAATAATTTTAAAACAGATGTTTTTACCTATGCACGCTAGATTTTGATTAAGGGGACTAAGTTCAAAATGTTGGATGCTAACAGTAGTGTTGTTAGCCTTTAATATGCCATGGTACACTTTGCTAGTAGGGTGCTAGTCCTGTGTAAAGGCCAACTCACATGGAACAAAAGGACAGTTATTCATGAGTGTTGTACTCACGCTTGTTTTCTAGGCCTAATGCCTATGCTTGTTTCGTGGGCTTCATGCCTATGTTTGTTCTCGTGGCCTCGAGCTGGACTTTATTCATTTTGACAAAGCTCTCCTAAATTGAATTTAAAAAAATTATCCTTTTTATATTAGTTCTTTAAAAGCATTTTTCTTGGTTATATCATTATTCAAATTTTTATATATTTTATGAGTAGTACGATTCTTAATAAACCTATAAGGTTCCAATATTATTGGTTGATCCAATGATTATATTGTTGAGCAGATTTTTCATTTATTATTAGTTAAAGTATGTGTTTTGATATTCCATTCGCTTTCTTTACACTAAATTTCTTAGTTACTACTATTATATGTATTTATTTATAATTTTAATTAGGATGTTACTCACTAAAAATTTCTTTGGTCTTAGATATTATAAATGACCCTATGTCTCCTACTAATCTTTGAGGGGCATTATTGCTTTTTGGATAATGGAAGCACACTTTGATCATTTCTTTTGAGGTAACTATATATTGCATTATACTATTGTCATTTAGTGCTCCACGCATACCATTGTTAGGTTCTAATCTCATTTTGTTATTATATAATCTACTGGTGTGAAACTAAACTCTTTTTTGGATTTTGAACAAGTTTTATAACTATAGAAATTTCAAGAGGTCTTATTTATAGGATAGACTCTGTCGAAATTTCTACAAAATGTTCAAGAATTTACAAACTTATATTCATATATACATATATATTAGAGACTTATTGTTTTGTATAAATTATTTGTCATTATTTTGGCTTAATTTTTGGTTAGCTAAGGCTTATGGGATAATGAGTTTATCTCATATCCATGCTGATCACATCCTTAATACCGAGGTGTGATAGAGCATTGCATGATATGAAAAAAGGTACCCAAAATGTCACTCAGTATTATACTAACCTAGTTGTTCTTTGGCAACAACTTGATGCCTATGAAACCTATGAGTGGTCTTGCAACCAAGATGCCACTCGCTATCTAAAAATCAAAGAATAGCCCTTCTATAATTTTTTTGCTGGGAATGGGATTTTTAATGATGTTTGAAGGAGAATTAAGCGGCTTGACATGTTACCCACTTTAAGAGAAGTGCTCTTCACTATTAAACATGGAGAAAGCAAGGAAAAACTAATCTTAAACATACCTTCAATCACAAACGGTCTTTCTACTAGATTGCTTGTGGCTAAAGGGTCCTTAAAAGAGTGATAATCAAGGAAAGAAAATCGACAAATGGTACAATCAATGTCAAAATGGAGGTCACACAAAGGATGAAAATCTTGGTTCTTTCCCAATTTAATGAATAATAGTAAGGATAATTCTTGCGCATGAACTTTTCATGTCAAGTTTGCGGGTGTTCTCAACTTGATTTCAGGTCATTTTTTCATGAAACATTTATAATACATCTATTTTGCCTTGCCATTAATGTGCTTATTAACCAAATTTTTTAGATAAAAATTGTATATGTCTCATCCACTTTTGATGCCAAGTTAATTAAAGGTCACTTTTGCATTCAAACTATTAGCAAATGTTTGCTTGAGAAATTTGCATGACATGAATATGATGTTTGAAATTTAGATGCATTGGATATGATGAGAATATGCACATTATGTGATAAGCATGTTATGCATTTCATGATCATGTGAGGTGGGAGTTTGCTTAAGGAGAGAAGTAGAGATTTTACATCTACATAGTACAGTCGCCATTCAAAGCTTGATGGCTTGTTTACACACACACACACACACACACACACACACACACACACACACACACACACACACACACACACACACACACACACACACACACACACACACACACACACACACACACACACACACACACACACATTTTCTAACTTGTTCTATAAGGGATTGTCCCATTTGTTTAACGAGAGACTCAAAACTAACTAATTTTTACTTATTCTATAAGGAGACTAACTTAGGGGCATGACATCCCATCGCATAAGATTTGGGAAAAATCGTGATGTATAAGTGTGTGTAGTAGCCTTGAATGAGCAGCTCCTCACAATTGAAAAGCTTAAGTAGTCTAAACACATGGGCGAAACCCTTTAGATTAAAAACCCTATAGTTTCAATTAATGGTATTGGGAGAACATAAGGGTGGAGTTAATCCTTGCATATCAATATTATGGCTATATAGTTGTTATTATTGTAGTCTTGCATATTAAGATCTTGAGTCACATGTTTATTATTGTGATAGGTTGTATATTATTTTGCCCAACCATATGGTTCCCAGTGTTATAGCTGTGGATGAGTATTGAGTATTTGTAAATATTTGAAGTTGATATTTATACCACTTGCATCTATATAATTAATTGACTCGTGTGTGTATAACTAAATTGACCTTGATTACTAAGTAGTTATACTTACCCCTCTCTCTTCAATATTTTCAGGAGATAGCTCAAGCCATGATAGAGGGAAAGCACAGAGGCATATGAATTTTAATTCCTAAACATATGCCAACTAGGGATGCATATTCTTCCAATTTACTTGCTCTGATGTTTTATTATGTATATTTAAAAATTGATATTGCCAATTAGGGGTGCATATTCTTTTGATTTACTTGTAGTAATGGCTATTGTTGTTGAAAATTATATTTTGGGCTCTAACTTGTATGTACTTTATGTGTGAGCATTTGGAAAAAACCAAAATACTAGTGCAAGCAAGGAAAAAGCTTAAATGTATGTTGGTGATGAATTATATGATGTTTAATATGAAAGTGCTGCCCCTTTTATTTTTTATGTTAAGGGGTTGAGAGTTGAAAATGAGATGCATGAGTTAGTTATATGCTATGATGTATTACACAGGTCACAATAAGTATACTGGTTGTGATTTAGATATGGTTGTGAGTGGCACTTAGCTATGATTTTGAGCACTCTGGTTGTGAAAATGTGAAAAGAAGAGAGTTTTTAAATGGATGCGCAGCTTTTGATTGAAAAATAATTTGTGAGTGAAACTAGTACTATTAGCAAGATCTATGAAAGAGCTCTTTATAAATATCTAGATTATCTCAATCAGATGTCAGACGAAGAAATGAGCATGTCAAAAGTTCACCACTGTTGCTGTCAAATTGACAGCAACAGAACTATTATTTTGTGCAATGTGCCATAGCACATGGTACAAAGAGGAGAAGCCGCAGCATTTAGGTGACAAGCCTTAGCACATTCTCTTATTTATGTGTTGAAATGCTGTTTAAATGTAAATGTTTTGCACACAAATTGGTATACCATACTTCTATGCATATTTCTACTTTGATTTTGGCTCATGAAAGTTATATTTGAAAGGTATTTAAAATTTGAAAAAAAAAAACTTAGAATTTCATTTCTACCACTTTTAAAACTTTAAGAACTAACGATTTCCTAATGGGTTAGTAATCCATTTGGTTTAGCCTTGTGATTACTATTGGAGTTTATCGTTAAGTGTTGGATGTTAAGGGTAACCTTATAGAACTAGTGACAATCCTTCAAAATAAATTAGAAAATATAGGAAAATTGCAACTAGAATAGAGAAGAAAATTATAATTAAAATTATTTAGCCTCCTTGAAGATCAAGAATTCATGAACATCCACTTTACTCCTTAGAATACAAGCGATCTAACCTTAGATCTTCAACTCCAAACAAGCTCTAATCTAAGCAAGAAATTTGGTCATGATAATGAGGTGGAGAAAAGGGTGATTTTGTATAGTGGAGGAGGAAGATTGAATTGAGGAGGAGGTTTTTAAGATTTAGAGTTGTATAATTTGCATAAATTAGACCTTGAATTTAGATGAAGAATGAAGCAAGATCGAGAGGGAGATAGAGTGAAGCGGTGGTGAAGAGAAGTAAAGATGAAGAGAAAAATGGAGAGAGAAGGAGATGAAAATCTAGACATGTGTGTGCAAATTGCCTTGTGAATCTAAATGTATATGCTAATTGTATATGCTAAACTCGGTGGAAGAGAGGGAGTGAATTATCAAGTGGGAGATGAGACCAAAGTGGAAAGGATATCGAAGGTGATTATGTGAATTCTAAAAGTGAATGTGGCCATCCAAAATCTGATTGTGAGTAAGAATTGAATGAGTGAAGAGCACATGATTGTTCAATGCGGAAGAAGAACTTGTATATTTCTTTTTAGGTTAAAATCAATTTTTGTCCTTTTACTTTCCTTAGAGGAGTATTGGATATCATGTACTTATAAATAGGACATTTTTCCTTCTAAACCATTTTCTAAAGGAGTTAAAAATCTGCCGCCTCTATGATTTTTAATTAAATTGCTATTTTGTTTTTGTTTAATAAGTAGTAATAAATAAATAATATTATATATTATTTATTAATTTGAAGGACAGAGGTGGTTTGTCCCAACACTAGAAATGCTACCTCTCTAATTTAATTACTTAAAGATTATATATATTCATACTAATTAAATAAATCCTTATAATTTATTTAATTAATATTTGTTATTAATATATATTATAATTTAATAATAAAAAGTAAAGATGTGGCATTTGCAAAGCTAAACACCCTCGATCTTACATCAGTCTCGTGATGTTTCATTAATTAATGAAATGCCACCTAAGACTTATTATAGTATTAAATCTTATAATGTTTTCTGAATGCCATGAAACTAAAATTTTAAATGCCACCAAAATCCATTTCTGTAGTAGTGGATGTGACTTCTCTTTCAAAACTTGATAGAAATGCCTTTCTTTTAATGTTGATAGAAGAGAGTTTTAGAGTTCATGAATTTTATCTCTCATAAGTTCAAGATATGAGTATATGAAAGCTAAGTCTAATTGATCAACTAAATCATATTACTTGTGACATTGATGATGATTGACATAATCATAGCCATTACAACTATTAGGAACTACTTATCCTAATGACTCATCACAATAAGAATAAAGGTTTAATAAAATGATTAAAATCATTGAAAATTGGGATTCCATTAAAACACCCAACACATTAAAATTAGAGTTAAACACCTTAGGGAATCATAAAAACTAAATCAAAAAGAAATATTTAAAATTGGGGTGAAATAGTAATTTGTCCTAAAATGGCACATGTGCCACGGCTAACTGGTCATCCTCCATAAAAAGGTCATTTTTACAAAACTTATAACATCCAAGTGCCTCAAACCCAAACTGAATGTCATAAGCCTCTATGAAGGTGTCAACCAAGTTTGATAGGCTCACAAGCACCTAATAGAACAATCATACACATAATAGCACAATTTATACACAAGTTGGCCATATAATGCCCCATTATAAATAATCATTTCTTCCTTCTAATTTGTGAACTTTGGCTACCTTAAGTTCTGATTTTCCTCTACCATGGCATATAATGCATCTGCCGCAGTGAATGTGGCTCAAAACTTCAACTCATGATTTAGGTCTTCTTTTCAGGCATAGTTGGCCCAATAACCATACTAACCTAACTCTAAGGCTATCCAATAGGTCCATAAGTTATCCAAAAAGATAATTAACTTATTTAATTTCATGTGTTGCTATTTTAATCCTAATTATTTCAATTAATCCCATATCAAAATTTAGGATGTTAATATGATGTTCAACATAATCATATTGATGACAATAATTATATCTCAATGATAATCAATAAAATCATATTATGGTGGTTAATATAATCATGTCGGTGATTGAATGAGCTCATAAACATCATGATTGAAGGTGGCTTTTTTACTATGATTATAGACAATGGAAGGTGAGATAGAAAGGGATGGTCTAATTATTCTATCTAAAAAAGGTTTTCAAGTTGCCCTCACCTAAAAGGTGAAGACACTATTTAACAAGTCCAACTCTTAGGGAACTCAAGAGTTTCTCAAGCATCACACATGCTAAATAAATAACAATATGGGTGAAATCTTCATAGTGACCTGTAGGACCCTGAAAACCCCTCAAGAAAATCAATAGAAACTTTAACTAGTCTAGGTAAATTTTGACCCAAGTATAAGGCTAAACTGTGTGTAAGAGTTGGGTGTGGCCTAAGGTTGTAAGAGAGAGGATTAAAAGATATCAATTTTTTTAGGCTAAATCAAAGCAAAAATAAGGATAAAATTATTAAAAGGAAGTATGGATAAAAAAAGGAATTTCAAAAATAGAAAATTAGAAAAAGAAAATTAGGGTAGCAAAATAAGCACCAGAACAAAAATAACTACCTCCGCTATAATCAAAAACTTCAAAAGTTTAGGATCAACTTGCCTTACCAAATAACTTAAAGAGCTTTAATTTAGAAACTTTACCCCTAAAAGGGTTCTCGTATGATGATTCTTGACAGTAAGATGGTATTTTAGGGTGAGTTTTACAATAAAAGTAGAATAGAAACCTAACTCTTATTGCCAATATGTTGAAAGGGGAAGGGAAAAAGGGAGAAGAGAATATAAAAAAAAAAAGAAAGAGAGTCGAGAGAAAAGAGAAACTTAGAAGAGAGGTAAAATAATAGCAATTCTTATTCAATCAATGGCTTGTCTCCAAAATAAATGAGTTGATATATTATTTATAGAGCTCAATCTTACCTTAAAAATAAATGTGAGAAAATTCTAAAAATCTTAAAATTAAATAAAAAGATAACAATAAATAATGAAAAATAATAATAATTCAAATATTACGATAATTAAAACAAAATATTCCTAATTAATAAGACAAAACATCTTCATTCTTCATATCTCCTCAAATCTTCAATATTTTCAATTATTTCTTTTTCTTTCCATCATTTCTTACATCAGCTCCCTTCATTTATGTCTGGTGCCTAATGACGCTACTTATCTCTATATCCCGACCCTTGGTTAACATTTGCAGGTAGAACCATTTACAAGAAAATTAATGTGGACATAGAGAAAATAACTCTCACTCCTTAAGCCTTATCTATGGAAGGACACAATCCCTTATGTCTTATTTAGGATCGTCCATCAACAAGAGCCAATTTTCAACCCCAACTTTAGTCCCTAACTCAATCTCAATTAATTCTGACTCCATCTAAGTCATCCAAAATGCATTTTGTATGTTACACTCTACAAGATCATCAGGCAACAACATCTAACAGGAGGAGAATTAGGTTTTCAACAAATTTTTGATTTTTTATAATATGTCTTTCAAAACTGAAGTTGATCAGTAATGAAACAATAAGTTTAGCTATACTTCAAATGACTGGTTTTATCAAATAATAAATAAATACTTTAGTCAAAGATCAAGTATCCAAAGGTAAGGAAATATTTAAACAGAAGTTCAAATATTCTTCTAAAAATAGATTTGAAGAGCTTTAACAAAGATGTGTAAATATTCAAAATAAGGACATTAAAATCAATTATCAAAATAAAGTATTAAAATTAGTATATAACAAAGTTTTCCATGACCAAGAACCAAGAGAAAATGAATTTCTAAAAGTTTTACATAAAGAGTATGGGTAGAGAAATTGCACAACTTAATTTATTCTAGTTTAACCTAACTACTTAAATTTTATCGAGTGCTCAGAACACCTCTGAGATTTTTTCCACTAAATACCCCAAATTTAGCTAAGCCTTGTGATCATTACACTCACACAAAGAAATTTCTCTCTAAATTTAAAACAAGGAATTTTTTCCTTAAATCTCTCAAATATAATGAATGCGTGTTTCCTAATGAATTCTCCCACAAGAGATTATAGAAGTAATGAAGTACATTCAAATGAACTCTCTCAAAAAGTAAAT